GCTGTTTAATAAATTAATTTTTTTCTTACCTGAACAGCACTATTAAGAAAGCAGCTGTTTTGTCCCGGTTCATTCAATAAGCCTTTTGTAGGGGCCAGGGACAGTATACTTCCAGGCTGATAAACTTTTCCAAGGTTACCCCCAGGTTTTCTTAAGAATTTCACCCATGCCATTATTTTTTAGACTTTATAAACGACAATATTTATGCTTAAATATTTAAGGATACAATGCGTGCAAGGCGAAGAAGAAGGTTCTAAGAGAATTGTTCTAAAGCCATGGCATTCCATTCAACTCTCTACAACAGTAACCATTCATAGGTTTAAGTCCATTTTCCATGAGCAGCTGTCAGCCATCCATTAGGATCAGGCTCTCAGTTAAAATACAGCTATACAAAGTTATTAACTTTCACACTTTAAAAAAAAAATGTGTCCCATTATAGTTAAAAAATGTTAAAAGTTATTATAATAAGAGTTCTTATTAAGCAAGTTCCATAGTAACAGACTTGTCTTTCCAGGGATATCAATAAAGTATTATTATAAATCATTAGTTATATTACATTGCAAGCTTATATATGTATATATCACAAAAATGGAAAGTTCTTGACAGGTGTTAAACTACTGTTCTCTCATTTCGTTCCATCTTCTTTTTACTTTTAACTGCGACCCATGAAATATATTCCAGTTTAGAAGACTGCATGTTTATTTCATTCTCTTTCCAGCGACTCTGAAATAGGAGAAAAAAAAATTTATAAAAATATAATTTTCCAAAATGTTAAAGACCTTCTAAATCAGTACAGAGACCACAGCTAAAACAGCCTCTTAATCTAAAGGCAGATGCAATAACCAGGGAAGAGGAGGAGAAACAACTGCCACCTAAAAGCTGTTTTTAAGGCAGAAAAATTAAATTATTTCATCTGTCATAATCAGTTACCTTCTAACTTATCATACACCTCTGAAGACCATCATAAAATTACTGTAAAGTTTCTGCAAACAATATTCAACAGCTTATAAAAAGACCACATAAGAGTTATTCTAACTTTGAATCTCCAAGACTAAAGAAAATACTAAGAATTACATATTTTTATTGAACACTTCAAAGCCTAAGATAGTTTTGATTTCAATATCACAACAACTCACAAACTTCTACGTATTTCTACGTCTTAAGATTACTAAGCTGCTATAGATGGATTCTCAGCCAGTACTCCGCTTTCAAAATTTTGTACTACCTAGTAAACACTACATAAGTGTGTCGTTACCCTAGTTGCATTCTTAAAGCATCCAGAAAAACATAGCTAATAGCAGAGCAAGAACATTTTGGTAGCTGCCCCAGTAACTGATTCCTGGATATTCAAATTCCAACAATAAGAGTTGTTTCACTCATCACTGAAGGTACGTACTTAAGGTTAAATGAGCCATCACCCAGAACTCACCACAGGCCCATGTAAAAGCCCATGCAGCGATCATCTCACAACAACGGATTATTCAATCAGTTTGGCACTACTACACCATTCACATAAGCATCTGAAGTAAGAGCACAGAACAGAATAAACTTAAATAAACCAAAGTGATTAAGGCTGCATATTTGGGAAAGACAAAAAAAAGTGACATTTGTGCCTCACATTACTACCAAGACACTCACCATAGATTTTACAAGTGTGTGAGATATTAGAGACTTATCAGTATACTTCAAAACCTGCAGCCTTCTCACTACAATTTTTTCCACTGTGTGAACATTTCAAGATTGTTGAGTAGCATTAAAAAAAAATTGTAGTTAGAACGCTGTAGAAATTGGAAGACAACTTTCCCCAGCTCAGAACAACCAACACCACACTCACATCAAACAGTTCTACAGCTCTCAAATATTGTACAGCTGGGATACCACAGAAACAAATCTTGCAACTTTCAAAAATACCTCTCGGAAGTCTTGCACCCCTAAAACCACTCCCCTTTATTTAAAAGAAATATTGGCACTTGCTTAAGTTATCAAAAAAATCAGTAACTGGAACCTAACCAAAAGTCTCTTTTGCCCCATGAATAATCAGGTGGGTTTTGTTTCTTTACTGATGTTACTGTATCTCACCCGTAAATAATTTTATTTAATAATACCAGAAATACTAAGTATGATTTGTGATAGCACTGAGCAAGGAGTCTGAAATCTAACTGGAAACTGACCTTGACAGAATATCATGTGATAGAACCCCAGAGGGGGGGGGGGGAACCACACACACGTAGTGAGTAACTAGAAATGCCTATCAGTTTAAGATCTTTAGAACTTTAAATTAATTAAAAGGACTATGAACTTCAATTGTTTTTTCCCCACATAAAAGTCAAAGTGCTCCCCAGCATAACAGCTATTCTTCTACAACGGACCAAACTCTAAGAAATTAAAGGACAGAGGTGAAGATAACAGTAAAACAAAGTTTAAAACAGAAAAAGATTAAAGACTCTCTGAAGTCAGGTATGCAGAAGTGATAACATGATCTGTACAGAGCAACTAAAGGAAAGAAAATATTTTTAATTAGTGTTTTTATTAGAAATTTTCAGTGCAGTACCTAAATAGAAAATAATGAATCACTAAAGATGAATAAAGAGGAGTCAAGGAAAAAATCTCAGGTATATAGCTGTTTATAATCAGATACATATACAAAAAATACATACACTTCTGTATTCAAGAAGCCAGCATCACACATCAGAAGTGCTTACTAATATGAAGCATCATTTGGCGCAAAGTCTCCTGCTATAACAGGGAACCATAACTTAAATTCCTAAAAATAACGTTATAACTATGACTTAAAAAACCAAACAAAACTAAAACCACCACCCAGAATAATCTTACATTCTTATTTTTCAACCATCAAATACTTCCTACTGATTTCTGGTTAAATATTTCTGTATCCATACTGAAAAACTGACATTATATATTTTTGTTGCAAAAAGAGCTTGCTCCCTGACATACCAAGAGAAGCTTCTTGAGCACACATTTTCCTGGCAATACAGAGTTCTCAATTTCACTTTATATAATTTCCCACATGGAGAATTGCATATGGTTTTCTTCACCCTCCTGCTGCTGTCCCAGAAGACAAAACTCAAGTTAAGAGAAACAATTTTTAGTAACCAGCAATATCAAACTGGGTACACTGAAGGGGAAAAAGCAGGAAAGAGACTGGATTGGGAACAGTACAGATGGCCTGTGGTAGCCATAAAGGTGTAAAGCGTATTTGCACTCCAACGTACGCTTGAGATGTCCCTCATTGTGTTCCTACCTTTGAGTAGACAGGAGCAACAGGATCAATACAGTTCTGCCCCAGAAATATCAGGCTTGCTATCAGGGTCTCCAAACCTAAAATAAATTCCCTACTGACTACACTACACCTCTCATCTCAAACTGCTCATACAGTTGTACCCCACCAACAGTGAGTGATTCAGCCAGCCTGTCCCCCGCTGTCTGCATTTCCATGTAAAGATTGCTCAGCCTGTACCAGCCACAATACCGGAAGGAAATAGATAGAAAGTAAGCTAGACTGCATGCCAATGATAAAACACAGAAGTTACTGGCAAAAGACATGTTTCTGGTATCCAAATTTCATTTGGAAACAGATCTCACACATTCAACTGTGAGGCTGGACTACAGCTGGTTATTTAAAGAAATCCAAGGATAGGCAAGAACAGAAGGATTCATTTCCAGCCAAGCAAGAAAAAAAAAAAAAAAAAAAAAAAGCTGAATATCTATTTCATAAGTAAGTTACTTTCTCATCTGAAGAAACGTGTAATGACAGACCCAAAGTCACATTAAATTTGGGAAACATTTGTGTTCTTTTTTGCTTTAAATGCAGAAGGAAGATAGCTACTACAATCACATCTGTGAAACTGGCCCCTAAGACCAACAGACAAAAGTTATAAAACATTCAGAAAAATTTTACCTCTGTCATTCTCATTTTGAGCCTTGGGACTTACTTATCTTAAGTCACAAAGGTAGAAGAGATTCCATGAATTCTTATGTTCCTTTTTTATCATACTTTCAAGCACAGTTTACCCATGTTTCCAAACAACAGATTTATGCATGGATATAGGGGGAAAGAACCTCTGAATTTACCTAGTCCATATTTTAACTGCAAAACTTTTAACTTATTTTGGAAACAAGAGTTCTTCCAGAACAATTTAAGACCAAGAGCATTCATTCACTAAGAACTTCTAGAAAGTCTTTTTGTTTTGCATTTCAGGGATGCCCTAGAATAAATATCCCATGCACGAAGCATTTAACTATTGGGTTAGGTTTCAGAGAAGTTACAACGATTCACTGCAAGAATTTAATCAAAAATGGGTCTGGATTAGCTCTACATTACTGTCACACTACATTAAGACGTTTGCTGTTTAATTGCATATCCACAAAGTTGCGAGTACAAACATTTTCAACTATCACACCGGGTAAGTGCACACAATCTTATCCTAATAAATTGTGGAATATATTCATTGCACAGTTTCATATGTGGGCCAGATATTCATTTTTCAAAGCACTGTGATGTTATATTCAAATAGCCTCTGTTAAATACCCACAACACCGGTGTACCTTTTCCTGAAAATTTAAGTACAACACTAGAAAGATCAGAAGTGACTACTTAAAAATTATTTTCACACAACCTTCTCAAATTACTCCTTCTATAAAGACATTATTTAAACTACATATGTCAAACTAAACATAACCCCACCACCACCAATTCAAAACTGTGTCACATATTTAAGAAAAGGGCATATAAGAAAGGTGTTACATATAAAAGATCTCCCTGTACTTCTAGAACTCAACTAGAACTTTGCAGTGATTGGGCACTCTAGTCGCTTTGTTTCATCCACTACTCTTTGTCCCCCGAACAGTCATAGTGAACCCAAGGAACAGACAGTACCTGTGAAACAATACCATCCTGACTCGCAGTTCTCTGGCCAACACTGACTAGTAAGTGCTAGGCTGGAGTAGGAAGTTCCACTACCCTTTCTTTCTCCACTAACATCCTGTATCAAACATGACTAGTGAATAAGAAGTGTGCACTGTAAGAGGAACACTGCAGATGAGCCTTCCAATGGTGCCATGAACAACGGGATTAACTTCTGTCAGACATTTGTCATCACAGCCTCTCCCCAAGGAGAGAAAGTTTACAGTAGCGTCTTGTTTTGAAATTTAT